AAAGTTGTTGAGCAGTTTTTACCCAGAAGCTCCACAAGTTCATCAAAACAATCACATTGGAGTGAGAAATAAGTAAGTCTGTTCATTCCACCAACGCCAGTGAGAAAATGCTGCCTGAAAATTATGAAAAAAGTAATAAAAGAGATTTAAATTACTTGTGAAAATCAACAGATTTAAGTTACTTGTAAAAGTCTGCAAGATATCCATGAGACCCCTCTCCCATTATCAATTTCTTCATGCCAGTGAATCCTTCCATCCGTGTGTAAATCCTGTTCTTCACAGCCTTAAAAACATCTGTTAATCCTCAGTAAGTTTACTTTTAAGTTTACTTACATTTCTAAAACTTTATTTACCTGAATAAGGTTTGATATATCAAGGTTTGATACAATCGGAGAAATTATGCTGTCGACGAAGCTTAAATAAAATGGAGAATGTATTTTATATATGGAAATGGGAAAAAGCTAAAAGCAAGCAAAGAATTTAAAAAAACTGAATTTAACCTATGTAGAAAAATAAAAACCGATTAAACCTTGAAAAAGAGAGAACACACTTACTAATGAAATTATATATAAATATGAGAAAATCATGAAACTTAGTTTTTCTTTCATATAAACATTAATTAATGAGGTTTTTGTTTACAATCCTGTTAAAGGCATTTAAAGAATAGTTTAACCAAAGACTTTCATTCAAAAAATTTTCAGGCTAGCAATTTTCTTGGGTTCCTTCTGATTGCAAACATCTTAAATCTAATCATCCCTTTTATTTGTCAGCTGAACCTTAGGATGATAAATATCTTCATATTGACACTGGCTAGCTCTACTTATTTTTATTTCTCTAGTTTAGAAGTGAGTAACTTTACTACGATACCTATTATAAACATCTGCTTATTGACACTGGCTGGCTCTACATGTAATAAATATCCATTTGTAATAAATTTCATGTAATACGTAATACAATATTCTGTAAATTTGTATTATGTTGTACATTATTAATGATCGATGTTTGTACGTAAAAACCTATTTATTCATTTGAACTGCGTTCTACATGAATATGTAGCATGATTAGCTTAATCATGTGATAAATGACGTATATCTTAAATATATGAGTAATAGCTTGTTTGATAGAAAGCTTCG